GGATAAGTGGAGAGGAAGGAAGTGTGTGGGGGTTGGGGGGGAAGGGGGTGCTGACATGGTAGAATCCATAGTGAGTCTTTCCGCAGCGAACCGGACACCCACGCCGTGTGTTATCTGAGGGTGAAGCATGGGAGCCAAAAGAGTTACACTACAGTGCTCCCAGGATTCTTGAACGGACTCTATTGCCCAGGGGCTTAGGGGATCTTTTTGTTGAGTGGTAAGAGGGAGAGCAAAACAGTAGCTCTTGTAGCTGTTGGGGCTGGGCTGATTGCAAGAGCCAGAGAGTGTAGTCCTGCTGCCTCCCGGGATTCTAAAAAGGAACCACTGGCAGACTTGCCAACTCTTCGAGAAGGAGGTGTGGCAGAGGGATCTGCTCTCTGAGATGACAGCCAAGGACTCCAGGTGGCCAACACATTAAAAATCAAAGCCCAGATGCAGTAAATCCATGATTCTTATGTAGAGAGCTTTGAGGCTCAGCACGAAAGACATTGCCACTTAAGAACATTAATAAGAGATCCGAGATAGTGAGAATTAGCCCATTTAGGAAACATTTGGGGAACGGTTGTCACTGTGCCTTGAAAGTAGACTGCATGAAAGGGATTTTTGAGGGGAGAGGGAAGAAAGCGATTTGCCAAATAGGAACAGATCCACCAAAGTTAGGGTTCAGGACCACGGACAGCGACCTACCTTCTGTTCTTGGGTATTGGGATTTACTGTCAGCAGGAGGGTTCTCTCCACAGCAAGTCCAAGCAGGGTGTCTGAGTTTTTATACCAGGACCCCATTCATTTATTAAGGAGCTCAGCAAATATAAAGTAAGTGTCTTATATGTGTCAATCACTGTGGCAAGACGCTGTGGTTTTGTAATTGAAAATGCATGATTCTCATTTTCAAAACCATACAGACTATAAAACCCTCTACATTGTATCTTAAGATAAATGCCACAGTAGAAAGACAGATATTATTCTGTATACATGTATGATTACACTAGTGGAGTGACTGAACCATGTTCAGCCAGAGGAATGAAAAGCTGTGCTCCATTTGTGTACTATATGTCAAAATGCAATCTACTGTAAAATAAATAAGTAAATAAATAAATAAAATGTAAAAAGACAAATGCCAGTACAATAATACGTTATTCCTTCTCTTTCAGTCTGTATAACTGACTTAAGCACTCTAAGAAATATTTAGCCTATTATATGCTAAACTGTGTTTTGATTTTTTTAAAAAAAAATTCATATATTTTTTAGTAAAACAAATTGTAGTACAAATGTTCCAATAGCTTGCTATGGGTCAAGGATTTTACAATTCCTTATATACACTATCTTGTTTAGTCATCGTAGCATCTTGTATTAGTCCATTCCTGCTGATGTAACAAAACACCACAGCTTGGGTAATTTATAAACTATAGAAATATTCTGACAGTTCTGTAGACTGAGAAGCACAAGATTGAGGTGCCTGCATTAGATGTTTGGTGGGGGCCTTCTTGCTATGTCCTCATATAGTGGAAGGTGGAAGGTAAGAAAGGACCAAAGCTAGTTCCCTCCAGCCTTTATAAGTCACTAATTTATTCCTGAGAGTGGAGTCTCCCTCACTTAATCAGTTCCCCAAAGGCTCTTCATACCAGCACAATGGGGATTAAGTTTTGGCATGTAAATTTTAAGCAAATACATTCAAACCATAGCAGATGCCTATGAGATAAATATTACTATCACCTCCATTCCACAGATATGAAACAAGCTCAGAGTAGTTATTTTCCCCAAGGTCTCACAGTTGCTAATTAATAGTATAGAGATCAGAGCTGAGCAGTCCAAACTTAGAAGCTGAGCCACATCTCTTTCCTATATGTTTTGTAAAAGGAAAAATATCATCTTTGGGATGTTATTTTCAATTTGGAGTAAATTCTAACTTTACTTTTTATTGAGATGTTTTCTTTAACCCCCCTCCCCGAAAAAAACAACAACAAAGAAATGAAAGAGAAACCTCTCCGAAACTAAAAGCTATCTTCAACATTTTCATATTTTAATAATTTATACTATATCTTGATAACTCCAAAAGTCTCTCTCAACTATACCTGCCTTCATTTTTTTCTCTTTCCTATTTTTCTACACTTCTCTTCCACAAATTCAGTGCAAGTGTCTTACATATATAGCGGAGGCTTGATTAAGCCCAAGTGTAAGAGATGACCCTAATTGCCTCATAGAGACCAGGGGATTACCAAGAATGATAATACTGAGTTTTCTTTGGTTCTTTCTCTACCTCCTCTTTCACTCAACTCCATAGAAGGAGGAGTAACTCATCTGATTAATAAATTTGTAAAAACTTGACATCTATTTGGCTACATTTCTCAGAGGCTGTGCATACTGTAGTAGAAGATCAAGGAAATCTGTCTCTTCTTCCCATTCCATTACTCTATTGGTAAACATGCATTCAGGTGCAATTAAAAACAGAAAAGAAAAGAAAACACTCACTCTGTATTTCTATTTTTCACCCCACATCCACTTCAAGAAAAATGGTGCCAGTAAAGTCTTTGCTTTTCTTGCAGTAACTGCGTTTCTGAAACCAGCCATCATCATTCATGTGTCCAGAAAAGAATATTTAGAGCCTTCTTTATGAACTCAACCACTCTTTACAGGTGAATTTCCAGTTCTGTATTTAGAGGTAGTAATTGGAAAGTGCCATTTTAATTTTATGTCTAAATCATTTTATGCAATGCTACTATATACTAAAGCACTTTGGAACATATTTAGCTCAAATTATTCAATATGCCACTCTTATTTAGAAAATGTTTCTGTTTTTAATTTCTTCCAGGTCAGAAGAAAAGAGAATTGAGTGATTAAGTTCTACTAACTTCTATCAAAAAGTTGTCAATTACTCAAAAGGAAAGACATGCTATGTTCATGAGTGAGAAAGCTCACATCAGCTCACCCAAACTGATTTATAGAGTCAGCATAATACCAATCAAAGTCTCAGCACTTTTCTTGTGAAAATTAACAAGGTGATCCTAAAATCCATGTGAAAATACAAAGGATCTGAAATAGCCCATGCACTTTTGAAAAAGAAAAACAAAATTGGAAGATTGAAACCAACTGATTTCAGGAATTAAAAAGCTATAGTAACATAGATAACAGAGTACTAGCCTCAAATTATAGAAATAAATTAATGGAACATAATGAAGGATTTAGAAATAGAATAACACATATTATTTCAGTTGATTTTTTATAAAAATGCAAACTCCCTCATCATTATACAAAATACATGTATGAATATGTGAATTTGGTGTCAACATACCTTATATATAATCAGAGATATGGTAATCTATTGTATAATGGTGTATTAAGATTATAATGCAAAAATAAATAAATAAATAAAAATTAATTAAAAAAATGCAAACTCATGTTTTAACAAATTGTCTTTTAAACATCTGGATATAAACTTTCAAGAAAACAGAAAGATAAAGTATAATTTGTACCTTGTACCACATTAAATAATTAAAATATATAATAGACCTAAATGTAAAACTTAAGTCTATAAAAATAATGGAAAAAAACATAGGAATAAGTCTTTGTAAACCTGGATTAGGCAAAGATTTTCTCCTAGATATGACACCAGAAACATGATTCATAAAAGAAAAAAATATAAGTGGCATTTGTCTCCCAAAATTAAGAACTTATGCTATTCAAAAGACAATTAATGTTAAGAGATTGAAAAGACAAGTGGCCGTCTGAAAGGAAATATTCTGAAAATGATATGTGTTCCAAATGCTTGAAAGTAGCACATGTAAGATTGCTCAAAAGGCAATGAAAATGTAAAAGTGGGCAAATGATTTGAGTGGAGACCTTGTCAAATATGTATTGATACACATACACATATGCGCACAGAGTAATTTTTTAATGGAAATTAACTCAAAGTCTACTAAATATATACCTATATTATAATCCCATCTTTACATGTCAAATAAGAATATAGAAAAATGCTCAACAAACTTAATCATTATGGGAGTGCAATTTAAGTCCACAGAAAGATAACAGTATACGTATCTTTGTATGACTAAAATTAAAAAATAATGACCACACTAAGTTTTAGTGAGAATGTTAAGCACCTAGCACTCTCATATGGTGCAGGTGGGAATGTAAAATTGTACAACCACTTTAGAAAGAAAAAGTTTGGCAATTTCTTTAGGAAGTTGAACATATACAAACCATATGACCTAACCATTCTACACATAGGTATTTATCCTAGAGAAATAAATGCTTATGTCCATACAAAGATTGCAATTCATGTGTTCATAGTCTTTTAATTATGATACATCGAAACAACTCAGATGTCCATCAACAGATTAGTGGATAAAGAAAATGGGAAGAATTACACAGCAATAAAGAAGTAATAAACTATGGCAATACGGGGCAAATTGGATTAATCTCAAAATCCTAACACTGAATGAAAGAAGTCAGACCAAAAGGAGTGCACACAGTATGGATTCCATTTATGTGAGATTATGGAAAACATATGCTAATCTGCAGTGACAGAAAGACTAGCAGAAGACTGCAGGGAAGCACAAATGACAGCAGGAAAGATTGCAAAGGAGTGCAAAGAAACTTTGGGAGTGATGGATATATTTATTATCTTAATTATATGGTGGTGTATGAGTGTATATATGTCAAAATTATCAAGTTATGCACTTTAAACATTTGCAGTTTGTCTTATGTCAAGTATTCCTCAAGATGTAACCGGTTAAACAGCTTTTAAAAATGAAAGGTAGAGACTAAAATCACAGGTATAATTAAGAAACTGGAGCTTGTCCAGGCTTAGACACACTCGTCCTTAGTAGAGCACTGTGATGTTCTTGTGAAATGTTGGTTACTGCTGTCTTCCTCAGACTGAGAAATATTAAAAAGTTAAACTTCCAGATTTGTAATTTGGAAACTCTGGTGTAAAGAACTAGCTCTGATACCATATATATGTTTTTATTTGTTTTATAGGTATTAGATTCTTATAATATTATTAACTTTTGGGGACATGATCCCCTATTATTCATTTGGGGAATTTCTTCTGGAGGTACTGGAAATTACCCAGGTCAGTCCTGGAGAAGGTCAGATCTTGGGAGAGAAATAAAGTCTTGATAAGCTTTAAAACAATGACTGGGCAAGAAGCGCTTTATTTCTATTGAGTAAGGATGATAGGTGAAGGAATCTCTACATGGTTGGGGGCATGTTTGATGGGGATGAGAAGGCTAGGTTCTGTCTCTGAGTTATGTGCTGTGAGCAAGGCAAGGAAGAATCCTTTGGTAAGCCAGGAAGGTACATGGAGGAGACTTCATACAATTGACATGTAATTCAGTGATGTGAGAGTATTCAGATCTAGAAACCAGTAAAAGTTAATCTCAGGGGCTGGGGTTGTGGCTCAGCAGTAGAGCACTTGCCTCACACGTGTGAGACCCTGGTTTCTATCCTCAGCACCACATAAAAATAAATAAGTGAAATAAAGGTATTGGGTCCAACTACAGCTAAAAAATAAATATTGAAAAAACAAAGACAAAAACAAAGTTAATCTCTGCCTGTGGGGCATCATGGTCCATGCCTGTAATCCCAGTAGTTCAGGAGGCTGAGGCAGGAAGATCATGAGTTCAAAGCCAGCTTCAGCAACAGTGAGGCACTAAGCAATTCAGTGAGACCCTGTCTCTAAATAAAATACAAAATAGAGCTGGGGATGTGGCTCAGTGGTTGAGTGCCCTGAGTTCACTCCCTGAGTTTAGCCTCCTTATATCAGAGAAAACATTCAGCATTTGTGTTTTGGGGGATTGGCTAACTTCACTTAGGAAAAAAAAAATCTTCCTCTGAGTTTTTGACTCCCTCCTTCCCTCACAAAGACCCTTGTGATTATACTGGGACTGACTGAAAATTTCAGGATAATCTTTCCTTATCACGATCCTTAATTTAATCACATCTGGAAAACCCTCTTACCCAGGTAAGGTGATATCTTCCCATGTCACAGGCACTGTGATGTGAACATCTTTAGGGGAAATTATTTTGCCTACCATAGGCAGGTAGATTTGGGTCATATGTAATTTGCAAAGTATGTTATCAATTGTGCCTCTCATGAAATGATTGAAAATGAAGAGCGCCCTACTTTTCAGTCTATAACAATACTCTTTATATTTTCCAACAGAGAGTTCATGTGGGTTATTTGAGGCATTGATAGGAGACTTTGTTCTCTCCAAATGAGTCTCTCAGGAGGAAATGTTAAGTTGTTTGAATGGTTGTAGTTTACTTCTCCAGACGAAAAAATGTCAGATGAAGAAATGGGCCCTGTTTCAGTCAGCATTTTTTTTGCCGCTGTGACCAAAAGACCTGACCAGAACAATTAGAGAAGGAAAAATTTATTTAGAAGTTCATGGTTTCAGAGGTCAGTTCATAGACGACTGACTTCATTACCTGAGGCCTGAGGTGAGGCAGATATGAGAGACGTTTTGGAAGAGGGAAGCAGATGGGCACATGGCACCAGAAAGAGGGCGGGGGGTGGTGGTGCAGAGACACGTGTAGGGGGAGAGAGACTCCCCTCACCAGAGACAAAATATACAAACCAAAGGCATATTCCCAGTGATCTGCCTCCTCCAGCCACACCCTACCTGCCTACAGTTTACAGTTACAACACAGGTAACTTCTATCGGGGATTAATGCATTGATTAGGTTAGGGCTTTCATAACTGAATTGTATCACCTCTAAACTTTCTTATATTGTCTCACACACGAGCTTTTGGGAAAAAACCTAATATCTAAATCATAACAGCCACACACCAGCATGAAGAGGAATTATATTCCTATCTTTGACATCAGAATGGATAGTAGATGAGTTATGACCAGGATTTCTTTAAAAATAGACATTTTTTTTTCTTATTCACACTTTAATTTGTCACCCACATAGGAGAACTTCATTATTTAAAATAAGATAGCAGAAGTTCCTTTCCTATAAAATGTTACGCCTTATTTTCTACTTAAAGTTTAAGAGATGAAAAATGACCAGGACATGAAATACACCAAGACTGTGTGTGGCGTTTTGACCAAGGCTTTGGGCATTACTTTGGAAGTGAGTGAAACTCATGCTGCACTCTTCTTCTTTTCACTACAGTCAATCTCTTTCCAATGTGCAGTCTTCTAAATTCAAGATCTTACAAATGAAAGAAAACTAATTTGCAATAAATCAATAGCAGGACCTGTGTAAATGATTGCTGGAAAATCAATTATGTTTATTTGTTTATTTGAATGAGTTCAATTTTTCTTGCATTTTGTATATAGGTTTGATGGTAGGTGATTTGTAATATATTCCAAGTGCCCTATAATATGCATTCAGTCCTGATCTACTCAAATCCCCTTAATTTGTAGGTGAGAAGATGGAAATTTAAGTGAGGTAAAGTGATGTGGTCCAAGTTCAAACAGAAGCTAAAGAGGCAGATTCAGAACTTGAGTCTAGCCTTCCTAATTATTTTTTAATTATTTTATACTTTCTATCAAAACCATTGTTTTGTTACCAAGCAACACAGCAGTGCAACAGCTGAAACACAGGTTAACACTTTATCCGAAACTGTACATGTTAGTAGAAGATGCTTTCCCAGATTTTCTGCTTTCTCTCTGATGTACTTTCAGTTCAACAATAAAATCTGTATGTGTGTGTATGTGAGTATGGGTTCTTTAATAATATGTACTTCTCAGTGAAGTTTTATACCAAAAGGATCAGTTTCCTGCTCATGAACCAGGTGCAGTAACATCAGACAGCAGCTATAGATCAATATAGAGAATTGCAGTTTCATAATGGTTCTCGGATTTAAAGAAAGGCTTTAATTGGGACAACCGTCTGCTCCCATCTCAGCTTGTATAATTCTGGAGTTAGCAACTAGGTGCATTAGGTTTTTTAAATTATTTGCTAAGATTGTTTTTTAAAACATCACCTCCCCAACGATTAGCATTAAAATTATATAAGCTTCACTTTTCAGTTTGCAAATTAAAGTCACCTTCCATTTCTCTACTCAGCAATTTCTGTATGCTGGATTATAGAGCCATAGGCCCCATTTTTTAACAGGAAAATCTACAGGTAGCACATGTGGCAGTGAGACTCTGAGCATTTGGAGATCGGGCACAAGAGATTCTCCTCTTCTCTTTCTACTACTGGCATTGTTTCACATTGTCAGGGACTTCATCTAGGTCTTTCATGCTTGTGTGAGGTGTCTCAAGCTCAAGTTCCTTAAGATCATTCTTCTACACACACTTAAAGAGACATCTAATAGCCATGCCCTCTGTTCTTACT